AGCGTCAAGATTCTCCCATACAGACCTCCCGCTCGGTTAATTAGAACTAAATATCAAGCTATAGGTGTCCGTCGTGAAAAATTGATTGAGCATCGCATTCAGATGTAACAAATCACACCAGCATCCTAATGATGGCCACAGTTTTCGTTTCCTCATCCGGAAAACGAACAGTGAGTTAATGCTGCCCCACCCCCTTGGCAGCGAACATCATCCATCCAGATTGGACCAAACCCCTGATCGTATGCAGCGCGACAATTAGCTTGGATTGCACCTTTAAAGCCAAGCTGACGACTCACCACACCCGCGTCACCGATGCTCCATGACTCATCACACACTGTGCCCCAGTGATCGTTGTGATAAACTTCTACACGGCCGTAGTTATGGCCACCGTCCGCTAAACGGATGGGAGCAGGTTCTGTGGTGTTATGATAAATGTAATATAGTGCCTGAATAAAAATTTCCTTTGATAGCATACAACTCACTACCATTTTGTTCAAATGTTCTGACATTTGCGAAACATGCCCCGTGGGTTGCAAGGAAGTTCAATTCAGAGTGGAATATACCATGCAGTTGTAAGAGGGTCTCATCGAGGTTAGTAAGCCGTAAAACAGAAAAACAACTTAATCGCACGTCTATAAGATATAACAATTAGAGAGAATCAGCACTGCGTTTACTTGAAACGTGAACGATAAGAGAGACAACATGACCACGATTTTTCCGCCAATTTTTCACGTTGGCCGGTTGCACTTTGCAGTTTCTACGTACGTGAAAGTAAAATGATTTTCTTCACTTTTTATCCCATTAGTTACAAACGTTATAAAGTTTGATACAGAATCAAAGCAAGTAAATAATTAGGCTGGATATTCTAAAAAAAAAAAGCATAGGGAGTTGTCAGCGTAAGAAATTTTTAATCTTCAGGGCCTGGGGAAGAAGTTAGAAGCTGATTTTGCTATAAAAAAAATCACAGAAAACAGACCTCTTGGGATCTGAAGAATTTAACTAAATGGCTAGAGAAATGAAAACTAAACTGTGATCTTCACTCCGTAAGCCCTGATTAACTGGCAGAATTCTATGAAATTTCTAATGCCGAGGTGAAAACAAACCTGACAACAAATCTCGCACCAGTCCCCTAACAAGTATTCGAGCTGCCATTTACCATATAATTACAATTTGAATCAAGGGAATAACGCCTGTAGTAACTCTTTGGCCGGTAGCGAGGTGCATGAAAATTTTGAAGCCTCACGGCCAAATGCACCCAGTTCTACCAATTATGGCAATCTGTCAGTTTAGCAATTGTACAATTGATTTAAAAAATCAAAGATAGGCTTTATCTAACTTTCTAGATCTTTTCATATGTTTTGAAAACTCAGATGGCGTGATTTTGCAATTTCTCGCCATCTCTGCTTCAATGAAGGAAAATAAAAGACATTTAACTTACAGACCCTCGCGTAATTATTCAGACTGTTTTGTTGCCATATTTTTCCGCTTTTACTTTCTCAATTCCATCCAAAGTTATGACTATAGTAGTAGTGTTTATGTTCTATCCGCACTAGTAGACATAACTAGAATTGTCCCGACAAAATCAAAGGACAATACAGCTTTCTTAGAATATAATTCTGAACCAGTATCCATTTAGTCTGTGCTGCAGTAGCGGAGGTAACACCAGGGTGTGCCATTTATGTAGTAAACATAGTAACCGCCGCAGTTTATCACTTTGATGGAACTTGACTTGTAGCAGCAGTCTGACGACCAGTGGAAGCAAACCGTCCTGTTAACCTGACCATCAGCCTCTGCGGGATGCGTGTCATTTATCCAGCCGGGTACATGGGAGTTACATCGGTTTTTAGGCGGACATGAAGTAGGCATTCTTGTACCTGCTGCTCCTTCAAAACGGTACCATCCCCTAAGTCCACTATCGCAAATCGTGTCTTGATTGGTGTAATTTATCCTTCTGTCTGCCCCTGTCAGACTTTGATAGTTCTGACATTCTAAAAAAGACAGAGAAGAAATGATTAAAGAAATTCAAACAAGCAAACAATGATTAAACAAATTCAAACAACCCTTCGAAAGAAATTAATTTATTTAGAAAGGCTGGGCCAGTTCATCTTCAAGCTGGTTGAAATGGGGGCCAGTTTAAACAATAACTGAAGGCCAGGCCACAACGCTGGGAGCAACGTTCCCTACTCAGTTCACGAGGAGTGTGAGGCCGGACTCTTTAAAGTGTCAATTTAATGCTGACCCCCAAAAGTTTCTTTGAATAAATAACCCTCCTTATCTTACTGAGAACAAAGTCAAGAAGATTAGTGTTGCATATATTCAGATTTTTTTGTAACAGTTCTCAAAGATCCCAAAGTGTTCACAACGAGTAATAGGGTCAATTGGGCCGGCTGGTTCATTGCAGTATTCATCCCAGGAACCGATTCGACATTACTCATATCCGGTTAGTGAGAGAGAGAAGTCACACTACAACCCAGGAAAAGAACGATAGAAATGTGCCCGGAAGGTATGTTGTTGGAGGCTGCAGCAATACAGCTTCCTTAGAATATGGTTCGCTTTTCATAGCATCCCATATTCGGAGGACAACCGCCCTGAAGCAAAGAAACGTAGAAGAAAATAGGATGAGTGATTTCGCTGAAACGCATTGACGAGCCAGCGTGATTCCCGCAAAGTTTAGCGCTGATCAGGATATCTTTGATATCAATTGAAGTGGCTCATTAAATATAACTCATGAGCCCGGTAGGTTTTGAATAAGGTGCCATTTCTCCATCACTGTGTTCTTGAGGTTAGCTAATTCCAATTGATATCAGTAAACTGTTTCATCGTTTGTCTCACGATGTAGTCACTTGTAGTCACCAACCAAACTAGGTCATTAACGGATTTATTCCATGGCAAAAAGAGTACATGAAAGAGTTGCACCCACGTAAATTCACGAAGACTCGTCAAAGCTTTCTTTGTTTTGACGTTATATCCTTACTGCTACAAACTTTGTTTCCTCTAAGATCAAAGTGGGAAATCTCTTCTGGGTACCCAATATAAGATCGTAGGACTCACGTCATCTCACTTCACGCGCACAGCCAGCTGGATCAAAAATCTCCCGGTGAAAAAAGTTTCTGTTTGGTGCTAGTTGCTTAATTACCTTCTGTTTTATTGTTTACACGAACTCAAATTCTAAGTAGCTGTAACTTTTATCATGTAAAAATCCATCTATCTGGCTATCTATCACACCAGGCTGTAGATTCCCGCGTGAAAGAATACTGTACTATATGAAGACTCGATTCGTATACCTACCTGATGGGAGAATAATGCAAGATCTTCCATCTCCTACGTAAAGATGGTTGCATGAGCAGTTGAAGGATCCCTCAGTATTGGTACATGAAGCAGAAACGTGGCAGTCGTGTTCACCACTGGCACATTCATCAATATCTGTTGGTATAATTGGCCGCTTGATACAAACAGTAAATAAGAAACTGAGAAAGGAATAATAGGAGAAGTACCGGAATTGTTTTTGGCTATGAATCCGATAAGTGATAAACTAGCTCAGAGACGTCCCAACTTGCTTGACGAAAAACCAAATTTGATTTGTAATTGAGTACGTGCGGCCTAAATGTTGTCTGTTAAAATTCACAGTGTTAGCTCAATAGTAAAACCTCTTTCTATGTATACCCTTGCAAGTATGTCCATCGCCAGAAAAATCGGTTTTGCAAGAACAGCGATATGATCCCAGAGTGTTTTTGCAGTCGGCGTTCTCATCACAAACACGGATAAAGGCATTACACTCGTCAGCATCTTTAATGGAATAAATAACTCTTATCTAGTCTAATTATGAACTGCTAATAAACAGTTATTGGATGAGGTTTTTGTAAAATCCGGAATAATCAAGGTCGAGGTAAGTGTAATCAGCCGAAGCCGAAGGCTGAGGCTGATAACACTTATTATACATATGAGGCTGATAACACTTATTATACATTGCTTTAAAGAAAATAACGCCAAACGCATTATCGCAGCAAACACAGTTTATTTTCGAGCACTTATACTTTACAACTGTATGGTAAACAAATTTTCATTTGGGCTAATTCCTTTTTTTCGTGTGGCTCCTGGATATTTTTCTCTTTAAGGTATTCGTAGAACAGCTCCTTCGCCACTTTTGTCGATCTTTTAATATTTTCCGAATCTTAATCTTCAAGTAATTTCTCAATTTTTTGCTGGGTCGATGAAGCAAATCGAGAAGCCATTCTTACTTTGCTGTCCGTGAACTTGATATTGCTCCACCGCAAATCATACATTGCGCGCGCAACCTAAAGGTTACTCACTAATCTGAAGGTACCGATTAGTGAATAATCTGTAGGCTGCGCTGTTTCCAAGAATTAACTGTGGGCGTTTAGCCAATAAAAAGACAGATGGTGACCACAATGTATAATAACATGAATAATCCTTTTCATTTTCCTATTGAAAATCTTATGTTAGTTCCCTCAGATTTCAAATTGGAAAATAAGAAAGCTTTAGCAGATAGTTATTTTAGAAGAATTAAACATCTCTCATTTTTGATCCGACAAACGAAGAACATTGTAGAACATCTTAATTTAATGTTTTTTCTTGAAATGTGATGTTTTGAAAGCTCCGCCATTGTCAACTTTATAAGAGCTTGACACAGCAGTTCCTTGCTACTTCCGAACTAGTTCCTTTGAACATAGAATGTACTGAACAGAAGTATGAAAATAGATCATGGAAAAAATTGAAGACATTTTAGTGAATTCAAACTTTTCCTTAATAATAACAGTCTTTCACGGGTCAACTCTCACCTGGACGGCCAAACTTACGATCCTAAATTGCACTAAAGCTAACAATATATCCGTTCTGTTTAATTGTCTTACTCTACCTTCGGTCTTCATGTCACAGTGAGCCAAGACAGGAGTGTCAGGTTTGATGAAATTCAACCAGTATTTACCGCTGACCGCTTGTCCACCTTCACTCGACTTGATTTCCTTACACGTATCTGCAGGCAGCTCTGGAATTGCACCGAGATGAGCTAGAAAACAAGGAAGTGAAAGGAAAAACCTGTTGTCTCTCCACTCTGGGACAGTTAGACGAATAAAACTGCCTAAATACTCACCTCTCTTCATATCTCGCCTGAAGTAATATCTCTCAGAGTTGGGTACAAAATCTTCAGGCCTGGCTTCCTTCGTGCGGTTACTAAGCTCACATTTGTCTTGGGTGAATACATAGTTAAAGCTTTGGCATCTGACGTCACGATAACACTCCAGCAAACACACATCACCGAATGCTGCTCCAGTAATTGTTTTAAAGATGTGTTTCTGAAGCATCATCCCAGAGATGGAGACTTCGCGCGTATAACTGTGGTACTGAGTAACTACTAAATGAAACAATACCAGCTGGAAGAGGAAAACTGGTAAATGAAAGAACGCTTGGAGCGCCATCGCGGTTAATCTCTCCTGCAATGAAATTGTGAATTTTGAGTACATAGTGATACAAATATATGGCCGTTAACAGAAAATAGGGAGTACAATACTGCAAAAGCCCCTATTTTTTGGTTTTGTTTTGTGCAGTATGACATATCGCACACTCGCATGACGCATGATCAGTCACACGCACACAACAAAATAAAGCTTGATTCGAAAAGGAGTGAGCTACGACACGGGTCGATAAGGCACGGTAAGTTCGTCTAAGGTAAAATCAAAAGATTTATGTATTTCCCCAATTAGAAGTTGTCAGAGCTTTCTCAAGGCAAATGCTGAGTGGCAGAAACATTTTTGCTTGGTACAGCGAACAAAAAAGTGACAAAAAAAGGCAGACATCGATAAGTGTAAAGTAAACTGACCTCCATAAGGCCCATTCCCTTACGTATTAGCAGCTCTTTTTCTTGATCAAAACATT